GGTGGTAGAGGGGAATGGAAGCTCTCTGGTTTCTCATGATATGTGCCTCACCCTGAGGTTGGATTTTCCTATTAGCCATGTCCTTTCCTCTCCTATTTCACGGAGCTGCAAATAAACATCCCTTTTTCAGAATCTGCCCCCATACCTGGCTCCCATGGCTATACTGATTTCAACATGGAAAGAGGCAGTTTTCTGACAAAAAGAGAGGCTCCCCACCTCTCTTATCACAAGCTATCTCTTTCTTTGGAGCAAAGATTTGAGATGGAGAGATTATTGAAAGAGAGGTGAGGATTATAAATATTATAATTATTATGATCAAAATATTATATCATATCCCTCCCTCCTACATAGAAAATAAGTTTTGGGGTGAGGGTAGTAACATCAAGGAAACATTAAGAGTAAAAAAAATTAGAAATCTAGATAAGTAGATAAAGGCTAGAATAATACAGTATAAATAAAGATTTGTCAAAAACGTGGTGGATCAAATTATAACAGCTTGGAAAGGAAAATATACATAGATTGAAATGAATATACGGTGGACGATACATTATTTAAAAAACTGGCCCTGGGAATAAGGAGGTAAATGATGAGAGATGGTAATTACTTGTAAATGGTTACACATTAATAACTGTGTATAGGGCAGCACGCAAGGATGGAGACCTTAGTAAAGGGATGTAAAACAGTGATCAAATAACTACCCATTGTTCAGAGCGCCCCCTTCTCTTCTATTGAATCGTCTCCCAATCTCATCCTCATTTGGGGTTCTCCACCTAACCATGTCTTTGCAACCCTCTCCCTTCCCCTTCCCTCAGTTTGGTTTACCTGTTAGCAATGAATGACTAGCGTTATCCAAAGGTGGAAGAAGTGCTTTTGAAGCTCCGGGATCCTTTCTGGACTGGAGAAAAAGAAGGCTGTTGGGGCTTTGACGGCTTTGTCTTCTCACAGTCTCGCTCTTCAATGACCGAGTCTGTCTGCTCTGCTTCCCCCTGCAATGCAGCCCCTCCTAAGAAGGGCGGAAGGACTCCCCGCCCCCGCCTCCTCCCTGCCTGACTCGGCTAATTGAAATGATAGGTTCTGGGGAGGAAGAGGATGAGAGCATCTCCGTACGTTTATAGGTCCCGACAATTAAAATTATTCCCGATCTCTTCCAGCACCCTCTTGCGACTGGGGTGCAATGAATGAGCAATGGATTGTTATTTGCTTTAACCTTAGGTTTATCGATTAAGAAATCCTAACACTGTAGACAATGGCAAGGAGAGTGCCCCTTTCTTCCCTTATTTAAGGATTTCATATTATGAGCCATCGGTCTCCCTAATCTTCCTCAATCTCACCTAGCCCTGTTCCGTTTTGGGTAAAGCACTTGAAAACTGGGGTGTCTATGAATCTCAGGAGTTGGGTGTGTGTGTGTGGGGTCTGGGGTTCCGCTTCTCTTTGCCCTGCAGTGCCTAGCGCGCACAGGGAGCGTGCGATTCCAGTTCTAGGCCCTTATAGTGTCCACACCCTCCGACTGGTCCGTCAGGGCGGCTGCCTTCGGGGACCTCAGCAGGCCCCCTTTCCAGCCCCTCCACCAAGCAGCGCCCCGTGCGTTCGGGAGACGCAGTGCACCCGTCGCTGAGCCGCACGGATTTCGTAATCGCGTCGCTGCCGTTTCCGCCCTCCGCCTGCCCCACCCCTGCCGGCCCGCCCTCGGCTCCCCTACAGCGTTGGGAGCGAGCTCGGAACCCCACGCTGGCTGGCGCGGAGCGGAACCCCCCCGCCAGCTGCAGCTGGACGCCTCTATGCCCGGGAAGAGCAGGTGAGACCGTCGAGTTTGTGCCCGGGCCCAGCCGCCCCTCCCGGGCCGGCGGCGACGCACCGGATGCGGGGTGGGGGAGGGAGGGTGGCCCGGGCGGTGGAGATGCTGGATCGGTGGGAACCCGGGCGCTGCACTGAGGAACAGCCCACGTCTGCGCTCTGTCGGTGCCCAAGCTGCAGCCCGGAAGGGAAAGAAGGGGCTGAAGTGTTGGGGGAGATGGGAGGGAGAGAGGAGCTTCGCTGACCGCGGTGGCGCTGTGAGTCGTACGCAGTAAAGCGGAGCCGTGTCCTGGAACGTCTCAGGCGACTGTGGCCGCCACGGAAAAGAGTCTGAAAGAGTCACAGAGGTCCCAAACCGAGCTTGAGGTTGGGAGGAGCAGAGAATTTCTGGAGAGAAATGGCGGGGGGCGGGGGAGGAGGGAGACAGAAATGGAGTCTTTGTGTAACTGAATATATTGGGGTGAAGGAGCTTAGAACTAGTTCTGTTTCTTCTTAAGCCCCCACAAGACCTTTCCTGGGGAAGGGCTGAGTTGGTGCCGTTCTCATGCCTGTCACTTTGCTGAAACGTGGGGTTCAGTCGCCCCTCTACAGGGTTCCCTAGCAGCCCTCTGTGTCCCGAGGGACATGTCACGGGGGGACCAGCTGCAACTCTGGGCTTCTAGCCAGAATTGCCCACTTCATTTTCCCAATTCTTTCTCTCTTTTCCTTTCTCTTTCTCTCCAGCTGCTTCTTGTGAAGGCTTGTCAGGCAGCGGGTTGGAGGCCTTGGGGCGGGAGGCAGCGGGACCGGGAAAACCGGTTTGGGACTAGAACCGTACCCGGGAACTACCCTCCTTCTTGGAACCCTCGTAGAATCCCTTCTCCTGCTCGCCTCCTTTACAGTTTTGAGGTTTGGGGGCAGGGTCACTTTGGATGCCTGGTTTTTCCCCAAAGTAAGCCTAGCTACCTCATTTTCATTTTCTCACATAGCAGGAAGAAAAACATTATCATGGGATAATGCCTGAGAGTCCTCTTACGTCCTAGTGTCACCTTGGTGGTGCTGGGGTGTATTTCCCAGCTCGATATTTTACCCTTTCTATTTGGGACTCAGCACAACTTAGCTGTCAGGATGTGGCCTTGTCCTGATTCCCCTGTTGTTTTCCTAGCCTCTGTGGGGTTGAAATAGTGGTCAGTGGATTTGAATGCTGCTTCCTACTGAGTTCAGCAACTCAAGACTGCATTTTCCCTCAGACCACCCTTCTTCTCTGTCTGCTTTAAAGGAGAGTGGCAATCGATAGCTCTTACTTCCTTTTCTGACCTTGTTTCCCTTCTCTCCAACCTCCAAACCCCACATTCACCTTGCCTTGTCTTCTCCACACTCCTACCCCACCCCCAAGTTTCAGAGACCCTAGTGTCCTGGGAAATGGAATTTCCTGGTCACGTCTCATCATCATTGGGCATTTGATGCCAAGTGCCACACACACACTTTCCCTCCACCCAGCTTTGGCCAGATCCCTGGAAAAGAAACAGAAACGTCCTTGTTCCCTCCACTGCCCCTTTCCCTCTCTATCCTTCTCCTCCCCCCTTTCTCTCCTCTTCCCTCCCAGCACCTCTGTCCACTCAGCTTTGAGTAGGGGTGGGTGGGGGACGTTGGGGAGAGTCCAGTCTCATTATGACCTGTCTGGAGGTGGGGGCCTCCTCTGATTCTTCATTGTTTTCTCCATTGCCCCAACCCCAACCCTTACCACCCGCTACCACCATCTTGTCAAACCCTGTGACTGACTGACTTCCCCACTGACCACAGCTCCCCTCTCTGAACAGCTGTGCACTAACTTCCGCCCTGTCTGGTTGCTACTCCTCTTTCCAGTAGTAGGAAGGGAAGTAAGAGAAGTCCATACTCCTAGGTCCTTCCCTCCCTTCGAAGTTGTGTCTCAATATTTATGGGCTCTTATCTCAAGGCTGTTAAAACATCTCTCAGTCCTTATTCTCACTTCTTATTCATCAGAAAGGAAGAATTCTGTTTGTGCTTAATATTCAGGAAACTGCCCTGTTTGGAATCTTTGAGGTTGCCTGTACCTCCGGGAAAATGCAGTGATTCTTGTTTCTTGGACACTGCTGCTATTGGAAAGTTCCTTGTGCCTGGTTGGTTGATGAAGCTTGGGGGTGGAAATGCTGAGGAGGGAGAAGAGAACAGGTCACAGCATGAGGGGAGAAGGGAGGGAGGCTGGAGCTGTGAAGCAGAACAGAGCAGGACACGATAGGACATGTGAAGAGGGTGGGGAGACTGGAAAAGATGCCTCATGGGACAGAGGATACTTGACACTTGTACCTACAATCTATACCCAGATGATCTATATAAGACCTACATGGAGATGTGGCCATGTCACATGTGTACAGACAGGTGTACATGTGATACAAGACACAGATAAACAGAGTACACACACAGCCTTCACCAAGAATCTCAAGGTCAAGCAATAACGGAACTGCTAAGTGACTTCTGGGAGGGTTTGGATCTCAGTAGAGGGGAAAGAGGAGGAACAAGGGCAGTGAACTGAAAGAAAGAAATTTCTTATTGTAGAAAGACTTTCTTGAGGTCCATCTGCTACATTTTGTTTCCTAAGCCATAGGTGGTCCAGGTTTTTCTTGTTCTTAAGAAAATGTAGGTGTTCAGAGCAAGACAAGGTAAAAGGAAAGGGGCAAGAGTGGAGGCTTTGTTTGTGAAAATGAAAAACCACCATTTCCTTTTCAGAGTCACTTAAATGCCCCTCCCCTTCTGCCCTAAGCCCAGAGAAAAGGGAGCTAAAGGTTGTAATACCCCCAAACTTTACATATTTAAAAGATTAATACTGGGGTACAGGACTAGGACCTAAGGGAGTGTTGGGAAGATGTGGGCTCATCAGGAGGTTTTTAAGGGTGGGAGAGATCATTCATTAACCTTTCTCATGTCTTTGCTTTCTGCTAATCCAGGGTTCCGAGTCTGAGGAAGACAACCTTGCACCTGACTGCTCCACCTTGCTCTCTGGCCCTGTTAGTTTCTCAAGGACGATAGCCTTCACTGATCAGCTGAGGGCTCCAAGGACTCCACTTTTTCTAAACTCATCCAGCTGAGCGAACCCAGGGTATTCTTGTCCTACCTGGGGGGACATCAAGAAGTGGACAGCCAAGGCACCAGAGCAAGAGCCCTCTGGGGCCTCAGGCAGAGGAGTGAAACTGGAACCATCAGGGAACATGAGTGAATTTTGGCACAAACTGGGCTGCTGTGTAGTAGAGAAACCCCAGCCGGTGAGTCTGCCCACCCCCACACCAATACCACAGAAATCAGTTACCGTAGATTATGAAGTAGGCACACCATCTAGAAGGCACACTCCTTGCTCCTCTGCTAGGATAGTTGCTGTAGTCAGACAGATGTGTACCTGGAATAAAGGGGACTGAGTGATGTAAAGTTAATGGTACTAGCTGTCAACTCCTGATGTAGGTGGAGATTAATGCCTATTAGCTTGCCCCATTGTTTCCTCATCAGCCAGAGGTGACTTTGACTTGTCCTTGTCCAGTATTTACTCTGTAGGCCACTGCCCTCACCTTGCTAGTCTATGTCTTCTCTGTGTTTATATTGTGCTAAGTTTACCTTTTACATTCTCATGATTTCTCTGTTATAATGCCATATTCCCATCTACTACCAGGCTTTTAGCTCTTCCTCAAGTATTTTTAACAAAATCCTTCTTCCATTATGACTGGAGGAGGGAATTTTAGGCATGATTCCCCTATTTACTTCAAACAGAAGAAGAAGAGGAGACGGATTGACCGGACCATGATTGGGGAACCAATGAATTTCGTCCACCTGACTCATATTGGCTCTGGGGAGATGGGGGCTGGAGATGGACTTGCCATGGTAACAAGGGAATGGGCAGGGGTTGATATGGAGGTGTGGTTTGTGGTCTAGAACTGTTCTCCTTTTTAAAAGGTCAAGTAGGGGACAGAACAAAATACTTCATGGGAAAGCTGCTGCTATTGTTAAGTGCTATGGAGTCGGTTCCGATTTATAATAACCCTGTATAGGGTTTCTGAGTCTGTAAATCTTTGCGGGAGCAGAAAGCCTCATCGTTCTCCTTAGGAGCAACTGGCAGGCTCGAACCATGAACCTTGTGGTTCAGAGTCCAGTGCTAATTGGGAAGCTAGAATCTGGTATTCTAATCCTTGCCAACAGCTGTGTACTTCAGACCTGGCACTTCAGGACTCTGGGCATGGGCTCCCTCACCTATATAATTAATTAGCTGATTATCCTTCACTGGTGTGTTGGAGGACTTTCTCCAAAAGGTATAATCCTTCATTCTCCCATAATGTGATTGGGAATATTGGGTAGGAAAAAGGCTGAGCATCTTCTACTCTAAATAATGTCCAAAATGCATTTCTTTTCTCAAAATAAGGGAAATCAGAGAGTGAAGAAGGAATCTTTTCACTGTTTTAAAGCTCAGATAAATATGTAAGAGTCCTAAGTGAGGGGATCTTAACAACAGAAGATCCATGTTCCCTAGAAAGGCCAGTGTGTGAAGGGAGACGTTGAGACTTCCCTGGGAGGAATGATCATTAGTTTTAAATCTTTCCAGATTGATTTTATTACTAAGGAGATGGGACCAACCTGGAGGTACAGGAAGACCTTTTACTGTGGGATGTGGGATGTTATATCTCATGTGTGCTTTTTCACAGACAGGTGCAGTTCAGGAACAAATGAGATCCAAGGGAAACCGAGACAGGCCATGGAGCAATTCTAGGGGCTTGTAGCTCCTTTTGAAATGGTGAGTGATGAGAGAAACCCACTCAACACCTCCAACCCCTGATCCTCTGGAGCAAGAATGGGAAGTGAAAATGATGAGAAAATTTGAATGGAAAAAGGAAAAGTAGAGAGAGGGAGTTGTGCAGATAGAAACAGAGAAAAGGGAATACTATGGAAATAGCTTAGAATCTGCACTAGGTGATTCCTTCTTCATAAGGCTTACCCACCCACCCCGCTTTTTTTTTTTCTTAAATCCAGGTTCCACCATCTTGAAGACCCCACTCTGTGTCCAGTCCAGAGGATATGCTGCCCCCTCCAGATCCCTCTTAGAACCAGTAACCCCAGGACCTCTCTTTTCCCTGTCTGTCTCACAGTGCCTCAGAAGGCTTGGGGGCTGGACTCCCTCAACTTCCTCTGACTATGGCCCCTCCTGGAGATGGGGTCAAGGCAGCAGGACTGACCATGTGACTACTGGTTGGCCAGAGGAGCTCAGCTGAAGTCCTGGACACCCTCAGATCTGAGATGGGAGTTCTTTAAAAACCTTGGATGAGTTCCGGTCTCCTGAATGATGATCTGGGTGCCAGTTGTTTTTAAAATCTTAACCTGGAACTCCTTAAACAGGGGTAGGTGGGTGAGATTACCAAAGCTGAAGCTGGCTTTGCCAAGACGCTCCCTACCTCCCTGCTCTTCCCCTCTTCCTTCCTGGAATGAACTGAAACAGATACCAGCCAGGGGCTGAGAGGCGACAACTGTTGAATCCACGCTTCCTCTTTAGATTTCAGACTTCAATGTCACAGCTTCTCAGTCTCTCTGCCAATACCATGTCATTTTCTAGTGAGGCTTCTAACCCTATATTTCTGTAGCATTACTAGTTCCTCAGCAACTTTCTTCTTCTTATTTTTTGATTAAGAAATTAATTTAAGATGAGTTCTTAATTACCCCATGCTACTACTACCTCTGTCCTTAACCCCAACTCTGTTAGGAGCCTCAGTTTCCCATTGAATAAGAATTAAGAAGTTGGTCTTAGCCTGACAACATTCCTTTCATCCGTTTAAGTCCCAGTGACCTGACTTGCCCTCTGCCAACCTCCCTGCTGGCCCAGGAGAGGGGAGGAAGAGGAGTCTGGAGACAAATCACCCAAAATACAACAAAACTAGAATTTCTCTTATCTCAGGGAGGATTTCCTGGCCATTGAGGATGATAAGGGTTGTGAGATAAACAGGTTGAAAACAAGCATCTCTGAGTTTGGGTGTCTAAAGATCCTAGCAGCATAGGCGTAGGGAGGTTCTAGAGCAAGATTTCTCAGTCTAGGTACTTTGGACTTTTTGTAATAAGAGGCTGTCCTCTGTCCTGTGCATGGTAACCTCTCTGTCTCAGCCTCATTGTGACAGCTAAGTCTCCCAAAATTTCCAAATGTCACCTAGAGGTAAAAAATGGCGCTTAGTTGAGAACCTCAGCTCTTAAGTGATTTCCACATCCTCATTTCATCTCCATCGCCTTATCCATTCTAAGGCTTGAGCTGTGGATGATGAGCTAGGACCTCCTACAAAGCAGCCAATAATGCTGCACAGATCTCCAAATTACACAAATCTCCAATGTGTTGTGTATGCTTAACATGGGTTCTTGTCTGTGTAACGGGCATGTACCATCTTCTCCATGGAGGTTCTTTTGGAGACGTGGTGGAATTGGAGGGGAAGAAAAAGACAATAGTGCTGTAGACACCCTAGCTTATCCTCCCGAAACTGAAGCTCGATTTCTGTACCCTAGTGTAGAACCAGACATGGATGGATAAAACTCAGGGAGTTTTGTATGAAGACCAGCTCCCATTCCCCACCTGGCTTAAGAGTGTACGTTAGGTGGGAAAGCAATGTAGAAGCAGGGTCTTCCTTTCAGTTTTTTCAGGTGTTTTTTGTTCTGGCTCCTTCCTTGTAGGATGATTGGGAAGGCAGAACAAAACAAATGAGCTCCTATTTACTGAGACAAGAAGGTGAGTCTTGTTAGCTCTGTAATAGGAAATGTTCTATTTGTAGTGGGGGTCAGGAACGTGGAAACTAGGATCCACTTTGTTGAGTCCATCTATCTAGTTTGCTTGTCCCTGCAATCACCTGCAGTGATTGAGGTTTTACTTTTTGCTAATTTCAGTGTATTTCCTGTAATTTTTCAGTCTAGAAATGGCCATAGAGATACATTCTCAGTTTACTCGCAGTTCCAGTCAAGATAATTGCTCTGAAAGTGGCCCATCTTGTTACCTTACATACTTCAATTGGTTGGGTTATATTAGACCTGAAGGGTTAACAGGACAGGGCAGGCCTTCTGTATTCTCTGGTCATACTGATCGTCAGCCACATTCTAATAACCAGTTTTTTGGACACAATCTTTTGGTGCTCTCTTGCCTTTAGCTGCCTTCTCTAATGTGTATGCTACCATCACGTCAATAACTTTTAGGTGATGGGAATGGGTTTGAGAGTCATAATTTATATTAAAAATTGTTGGACTTTTAAATACATTTTTCAAATAAAAAAATTTTAAGCAAGAGCTGCAGAATAATCATTACATGTGTATATGGGGTTAAAGAAAAGCTAGGAGTGAATGTACCTCCTTGAAAGTGGTGGAGATGGAATTTTGAATTAACATTGCCCTGCCTGAGGAACATCAAGTATTGTGAAAACAGGAATGCCACATTATTTTTTAAGAGCTCGACTGACTCCTTATTCTTCCTAATCTGTTTTCTTAGATATTTCAAATCTTTAAAGAATTGCTTGTTTAAAACCAACTTTGGAAATGTGAGGAATGACCAACATTACATTATTTTAGGGAAAGGCGTTATTAGGTGCTGTTGAGTTGATTCCAACTCATAGTAACCCTATCTAGTGCTTCAGGGGAGTGGCTGGTGACTTTGAACTGCCGACCATGTGGTTCCAACCAAACTTGGGGCCCAGTGCTTATCGTACATACAGCTCCCACATACCAAGTCAGATGTTACTAGGTACCTAGAGTTCAGTTTAGGAGATTTATGCTCTCTTCCCTCCGATAACTCTTAAAAAGACATAAGACTAAACATCGCGTTTTTCAGTTTTGTTTTTCTGTACTAAAAATACCCAGTGGGTGCTGGGATAGAAAGGGGAGGAGAGGTTGAGATGCTGACACCTCCTCTTCCTGTGCATGAAGTGGCCTTCACCTTCGGTTTCTCTCTGTCTGGGTAAGAAAAAAAAAAGAAAAGGGATTAATTTCAGTCACATCTTTGCCCTTGTTCTTGTTCAGCCTTCATCTCCCTCACCCACATAGCCCCATTCCCTTATCCCTACTCTCCCTATTTGGACACAAGGAGAAAGACAAAAGCTAATCACATTTGACAAAGGATATTTTATTGTGTTTCTCCTTACCCAAATGGAGAATATTTCATCTGGTCTATCAAGACCATTGGTAGGTAACTCTTGGTAGAGGACTCTCTCTTGAGAATTCTTAGGTTGCTAGGAAGAATCCCAGCTTGACAGTTATCTGTTATTTGGGATGCATAGAGTGGTGATTCCAATCATGGACTTCAGTCTCAAACTTGGGTATGAATCCCACAGTGACTCTGCCACTTAACTAGCTTTGTAAGGGTATTCTTTTTAACCCCAGCTTTCATCTAGGGGTAATTGTATCTCATCAGGTTATTGCGAAGATTGATCCAGGTAAAAGTACACCTAATAAAACCTCATTGGCTGCTGTTAACTGTTGAGCTGCAGTAATTACCTGAAAACTAATGATTAATAAGTCCCTTCATACCCATTAATTATCTGTGCATTAAGAAGTCTATCTACAACTATTTGGTCAGTAATCATGTAGTGACCAATAGTACATGGTGCACAATAACCAGCAGTTGCTCAAGAAAATAGAATTGAATTAATGGCCAACAATGTAAATAACCAATGCATTTATGAATAAACAGCAAAAAAGTCAAATTCATGCAAGCAAACTGGCTGGCAACAGGATTTTGGATAACAGGACTTTTCAGATCCATCCACAAGCACTTACTGGTTGCATCTCGGTGAACACTGAAGAGAGACTGTTCCAAATATCTTCCAGCCCAATCCTGACCCGTTTCCAAAAAGCAAGAGCGGGGCTGGTGCTGGTGCTGGGCATGCGGCTGGTGCTGGATTGAGAGGTGCAGTCCTCACAGAGATTTGCGTCCAGGGGGCACTCTTCCCGGTCCCGGTCGCAGGGGCATTGCTGGTAGGTGCAAGGCCGGTGTTCTGTGCGGATTTGGCTAAGCGCCCCAGCGCGAAGGCGCCCTGCCAGGCCCTGTAGCTTCCCGGACCGGGTACGGCTCATGGTACCCGACTTGCAGTGACAGTGCCACGGGCCCCAGGGCATCAGCACCAGTCGCAAATCTTCTGCAGGTGGCATGGCTGTGGGAGAAGGTGGAGGCCACCGGTTCGGGGTAGACCCAGGTGTCGACCACTGGCTCAAGGTGATCTCAGAGCCCGGCTGTTCCGCAGTGGACTTAAAGGTGGAGGGTATTATACTTGAAGTCAGCCTGATTTCCCGATCCTGTGTATTCGCTGGAAATCTTGTGCTGGGATCCGTATTGTGAGTCTCTAGGTTGGTGCCATTCCTTCTGGCGTTAATCAAAACTTCCTCATCCAAAACCCCTTCTTCCTCCCCAGACCCGCGAGGGTGGCTGATGCCTGTGGCCACCGAGGAGGCCAAGAGCTCAGCGGCAGCCGGGCCTGCCAGGTGGTCCGCAGTGGCCACGGCGTCTTCCTCATCTTCCAGAGTTACCTTCATCTTTCGGGGTCTGCCAGTACGGCTGGTGGTTTGGTAGCTGCTAGCCATAGGGCCTCCAAAGCGGAAACTGACCCGCTGCAGCCCAGTTGGAGTTTGGGTCTGGCCTTCGGCCCCCGCCGCCGGGGACCCCAGACTCAGCAGCAGGGCCCAGAGCAGCGTGCCGGCGGCGGGGGGGACCATGGGGCTGGGAAGCTTAGGGTTTAGAAGGAGGCCAGCGAGGAAGGCCCAGCTACTATCTATTCTCCTTCTCTTCAGCTCCTTAACTCACTGGGTCGTTTGAACCGAGGTCCTCGGGGACAGGGGCGTCCTACCTACGCACGCGCCACGCCCCTCCCCCATACCTCCGCGTAGCTGCACTCCTGTAATAAATTCAAAAATCCTAGGAAACCTCCACCGCAAGATCTTGGCGCCAGAACACGGATTGTGATGTTAGAAGTAGGGGCAAGAGTTGTTCACTTCCTTGACACAGAACTCAAATTTCCCATCGCAGTTTATTAAAATGTTACACATTTGCATTTACTAAAGAGGACAAAACTACACACACAAAAGCACGCCTCCGCAGGCTCACAGGCAAGCATACATGCCTAAAACAGACCTCAAGGAAACCGTGGCATGTGGTAGTTTTTTTCAAGATTTGTCAGGGGGTCAATACAGAGCTGTTTTCTTGCCACAGACTCGCTGGCCATGGGCAGTTAAGCCCTGCTCTTCCCATTCACCTCTCAACTCACGAACTGCTACAACTGCAAAGGTGGGAAGGATCTCAGCCCCTTCCATTAGAAAGAGAAAAATGACATCCAAAGACATTATTTTGCCCAGGTTTCTATAGCTAAAGCAAGACCAAAACCCAAAGCTCCACACTTTCCCAAAATGCTTTTGTCGTTGCACTCACTACACTATACCCCACTGACACAAAAGTCACCCAGCAAATGAGCTTCCAGATCTCAAAAGTCCTGATGTAGGCAGGGTCATGGAAAAGATGCCACCTCATGTAGATGTGACGATCCAGTGGCAGTGAGGATGAAGATGAAATACTTTATAAAACAGCTCCTATGTTTCAGGGATAGGCAGACTGGTTGGTTCTCAGGCCCTTTTTCCAGTCTTGTGCTAGGTCCTTCCTGAGCCATGGAGACCTTGGTCTAGCCTAGGACAGAAAGGGAGAAATAAGTGGGGCCAGGGGCAGGATGCTCTGGGTCTTACTCACTGGTTTCCGTTGGGAAGCTAGGTGAACTGGAAGAGCTAGAAGACTGAATGCTTGAGTCATCACTTTGGATCCTTTGCTCCCTACAACCTTTCCCCACCAAATACACTCTCCTGTTCACTGCCCACCTATCGCTTCCTAATTTCTAGGACTGGTCTGAATCTCCTCTAGCTCTTGGGTTGTGAATTATTCTTTTTTTCCTTGATGCTTCAGCACGTATCTGAGGAGAGTTCAGAAAATTCGTGGAAAAATGGAATGAAAAGATAATGAAAAATTTCCACAAACTTTCAAAGTCCCAATTTTAAAACTGCATCTTATGAGACACATGACTGTTGTTGTTAAGTGCCATTGAGTCAGTTCTGACTCATAGTGACCCTGTCTGTGTAGAGTTTCCAAGGAGCAGCTGGTAGATTTCAACTGCCAACCTTGTGATTCACAGTCCAGTGTGGATCCTACAGTGCCACACCAGGAGTCCAGACACATGGTAGTGTCCTTAGTTTCTTCTCTGGGTGTGTATTTTCCCCGATACAGTAAAGCATTTGGAAGCACTGTCTTCTCTTTTAGTTCTTTTGTGTGTCTCCCCCAAAGACATTAAGAAAGTGCAGACCAGCTTTACATATACCACCCCAAACCTTCACGCTTTAGGTTCAGTACTCACTGTCTGACAGCTTCAGGGATGTGGACCTGATCCAAGGAAATGAGTTGAGCCAGTTCCCCAAGACTGTCCAGAAACTGGATCTTTCTTGTGAATTTGGAACTGAAAAGAGAGGATAAACCAAGTGTACTCTAAAAAGAGAAAGGGCTCCTGGACACCCTTGCAAAAGGAAATGTGGTGAGTAGAGAATGGTTAATACCAGAAAGGGGGGAAGGGGATCCTTGTTCCGAGAGCTAGTACCTGATAAAGGGACGCAGCAGTGCCAGCAATGCCTTCACATACCATGTAGCATGGACAACTACCAGGGCTCGTAGATTTTTCCGGAGCCTAAAGAAGAATATAAGAATATTTCTTCCTCCACCTTGTCTAAAGAATAAGTAGAACAATGTCTTGTACTTTAACTTCCTTTACTTCTCTTATTTCTAGATTTCGGGCAGTTTTGTTTAATCCCCATTACTTTAGCTATAGTCTCAGTCCTACCTATCTTGTTTAGTTCTTTATGTTCCTCCTTAAAAAATTCTTCTCTCAGGATACCTCAGCCTGATCTTCTTCTGTACTCCATTTACTTCCTTGCCCTTCCTTACATAATTTTCTTAGTCTCGCCCTCATTCTTGTGCGCCCCCTTTACATTTTTTTTTTTTTTAACTTTGCTTTACATGCTTCCCCATTCCTCCATGATCAAGACTCTTTATATACTCCAAGTGGAAGAAGATCAGCGAGGATTAAAAAGGAAACAGGCTGGAAGAAAGAGAAAAGTATGTAAGGGAAGATGGGAAACGAGAAAATTAAGCAAATAGATGATGGGAAAACAAAAAAGTGAGGAATGTTAGAGATAAAAAAAGATGTATGAGTCAGGGATGAAGGCAGAAAGCAAAAGAATACAATGAAAATGAAATAAATGGTAAGACTGGAAAAAAAGGAATTGGCTTTCTCTGTGGGCAGGCAATATGGCACAGTGATTTATTTGGTTTCCTCAAATACCCAATGGTAAAGGTACTACTATTTCCATTTTGTTTTGATGTGCCATAGAGTTGACTCTGACTTATAGCGACCCTACAGGACATAGTTCAATTGTCCTGTTTTACAGATAAGGAAACTACCTGAAAAGTTAAGTGACTTGTCCAAGATGACAAGGTCATACAGTGAGTTCATGGTAAAGACAAGATTTGAAACCAGACTTCCCTGATTCTTAGAGAAGACAGAAAACATGAGAGTAATAGAAAGGGGTTTGGAGACATAGAACCAGAGGAAGGGACTAGCTAGAAGAAAGAGTGAAGCAATAGAAAAGAAAGAGATAAGATTGAGAATTGTGGCCCTCTCGTTTTAGAGTCTCACCGGCGGTCCAGGGTACGGTAACACTGGCGTATCCAACTCAGAGGTGGTACTTGGGCCCTACATGTGCCTCCACTGAAGTGAACAAGTAGATAATTTTCAGCTACCAGCAACTCCAGAGTTCCTACCATATACCTGGAAAGAATGAAATTGTCAGGGGAGGTGTACATTTTGGGTTGCGAGTGAGAGGGATTATTACAGACTGTATGAGGGGGCTTCAAAAAGTTCATGGAGAAATTCCATTATCTTTGATTCCATTTTTATACAAACTTTTTAAAGGTCCCTTATGATCTTGGAAGTTCTTTTTTTGCTTTTTCTTCCCTAACATCCTCCTGTATCTCTTCAGGCCTTTCACCTCACCTAAATAAGTGTTCCATGACATAGGTGTAGTTGGGAATGCTGCTTCTAGGTAGGTAACAGGAAGCAAAGAGAATAACAGCGTTGAGGCCATCACCATGGTAACCTGGGGAGGACAAGGGTGACATTCATTCAGTCAATAAATGATAGATACTACTTTTGTATAGATTGAGGCTCTCAGAGTCCATGGAAGTTACAGGGAGGATTTTGAGCTCACTAAGAGAGGGTCTAGCTTAGGCATTTTATTCAAGAAGCTACGGTTCCTGACCCTTCATTTATGCCAGTGATTACCTCCATGAGATAGAACTTTCTTATAGGGTTCGATGACAGTCATGTCCACTCGCTGCTCTCGCTGTCCTGTTCGGAACACCCTCCAGCGATGACCATCTTCTCCAGCCACATCCCACACACAACCCTGACCCAGTCTTTCAGCTGCCTCGCTAGCCCCTAGACTCTCTGACCGGGGCAACTCATCTAAAAGAGAGGGATAGGAAAGGATCACCAGAGCAGAATTCTTATTTTCTGTATCTTGGATCTTACCCATACTCCTAAAACCCAACCTACTGCCGAGTCTATTTGACTCATAGTGACCCTAAGGGACACAGTAGGACTATATATCTTTTTGGGAGCAGGCAGGCTCATCTTTCATCCACTAGAGCAGCAATTGGGTTTGAACCACTGAGCTTTCCGTCAGCCGCCCAATGCTTAACCCCACCCACTGTGCATCTAGGGTTCCTTACCTAGACTCCTAGAGTTTATTAATCCAATCTCCTATTCCTTTGGTTTTTCCTTGACTTTTTAGCCCTCATTTGTCCAACTGAATTCCTTGCTGGACTCTCTTCACCTATGTCTCATTATCCTACTGTTTTACTTGACTATAACCCTGGCATAACCTTACACTAGGGCAGGTCTATGGCCCTGGCCAGTATCAGTTTTTCTTGGATTCTCTATATCTTTTTCTTGGGTGAGCTCATCTATTCCTAGGTCTTCAATTACCACCAGTAAGGCGATGGCTCTCTAACCCAGACTTCTTAACTCCAGATGTACATCCCTAAATGCCTAGAGTAGATATCTGCAGTTTGTAATCTCCAACTCATATTTATTCTTTTCCTCCTCTCTTCTACAGTTCGTCTTGATGAAGGAGCTCATTGTCCATCCAGCTGCCTGAGAGAAAACTGTGTGTCATCAGAGACATTTTCCTTCTTGTTAGCCTTGAAACCTGGTGAACCCCAGATCCTCTTTCATCTACCTCCACAATATTCATCACCCTCTCCACTATTACCAACCTGGTTTCTCACCTGGCTTTAGTACTAGCCACCTGACCTGGTCTCCTTGCCTCTAGTCTCCTCTAATCCACAAAGCAAGCTTTCTTTTCTCTCCAATTTTTTTCACTCAAACGATAATATATTTATACCCATCAATCGGCATAATTCTTCCATAACAATAGTTTCTTCATTTAAAAGGAAAAAAACTTCCTTAGTGTTCTATCAAGGAGCTCTGGTAGCGTAGTGGTTATATGCTGCTAATCTCAAGGTCAGCAGTTTGAAACTGTCAGCTGTTCTGTGGGAGAAAGATAAGGCTTTCTGCTTCCATAAAGATTTATAGCCTCAGAAACCCTACAGGGTTGCTATGAGACAGAACCCGCTCCAAGGCACATAACCACCACCACCAGTATTCTATTGTATGGATACACCATAATAGCATCAATAATGCTACAGATGGGTCTGTAGGTTGTTTCTATTCCTTACAGAGCCATCAAATTTGTTTATGTTAGTCCTTTGGTGGTGTGGTTATGTGACTTAATGCACTGGACTGCAAAGTGGTTTGAACCACAAGGTCAGTAGTTCAAGCTCACCAGCTGCTCTTTGGAAACCCTATTCAGGGTCACTTTGGGTCAGAACTGACTCTACGGCACTTAACAACAACAACAGTCCTTGTTTCAATGACTCCCCATTTCCTAAACTCCTTAGCATGGTAGCAGGGGTTTCCACGATATGACCTCATCAACATCTCATAGCATTATTTTTTATTGGTCTCTTTTCACCTCTAACCCTTCACATCTAAACAGTCATGCTTAATGAACACTTTGAATTCCCCACGTCATGCTACTGCTGCTGTAGAGCATAACATCTGAAGGTTTTTTTCCTGTGAACAACAACAGCCAGGCAGAGCTGAATTCCTTCTTGTGCCTAGGTTTAAGTGTTCAGATGCCAATTTTTCTTGTGTACCTCATGGACCTCTGATAGTTGAACTGCCAGAGTTAGAAGCAGAGTATATTTGAGGGTAGGTTTGGGGGACAACCAGGCCCGGCCTCAGAGGAAAATTCCTAGACGTACCCTCTGATGGTCATCTGGTTGTGATGTCATATCCCAAGAGCCTCAGAGAATGTTAACTCTTCTATCTGCGATAGTCCTCTCCCTGTTTCCTTAGGCCTGGCATGCATATGTGACATATGGCTGCTGTCAGTCAAGGTTATGGGAGATTACTTTGTTCTCTGTGCCCTATAAAAGGTCACCCACCACAAGAAGACAGAACTTTGGAAACTCATCAGTGTGTCTATGATTTTCCTCACTCGAGGGATCTGTTTGTCTTTGTTTTGTGTTTACTCCTGTTTCGGACTATTATTAATAAAGACTATAATATTTATATATTAAAAAATAGAGTCACTTTTTCTCCCTATAACAATGCCCAAGTTGTTTCTTCTTCCTAGAATGCCTTTTCTCCACTTATCTGATAAACATCAGCTTGCAATACTTTACTCTGTGAAACTTCTTCTGACACCTCTCATATAGAACCGACCATTCCCTTCTCAATGTAGATCATAACCCGCATGTATTTGTATATATGTTTATTCCCTTGTAAACAGAGAAGTCTCTGAGAGTAGGGATTATCTTTACAATTCCAGGCCTAGCTCAGTGATAACATGTAACACTCTATCAATAACATTTTTTTCAATAAACAACGTGCCTTTCCTCTTCTACTGACTACTTTCATATTGGATCTATAATCGCAACCATTCTATTCTGAGGAAATTGATTTTGTTGGACTTGTCTCTTGGTCCTCCCTGTGTTTGTTCTAATTTCAGTCCCATTAAATCCATCCTGGGCTTCTTTAATACTGGCCTCTATTTCTACCATATCAATCCTCAAACAAATTCAGGTTTCCCACCTTCCCATTCAAATTCATGTCCACTATCCAGCGGTTCTGAGTCTGAAGGTGTCTCCAATTCATCTATCGCCAGGTCAGAACTGCCACCAGAAGAAGAAGGTGCAGAATGGGTGGGAGAACTTCCACTATCTCCAGGCCCTTCAGTCAGATTTAGCTGCAACTCTGGGGCAGAAAGACGCTTACGCATGGGGCGTTGGCCACAGAGGGCTAAAGTGCTGGGGTATGTACCTGGGATTGAAGGAAAAAAGAAAGAAAGATGGGTCGAAGTTAGGGTGGGTGTTAGTAAACCTGATTACAATTCCTCTATGTAGAAATACTAAAATGGTGTGAATTCTAGAAAAGGAAGAACTGGCACAGGAGCCATTTGAGAACAGCGAAATAAAACTCCAAAAGGATAAGAGTGACTTAGCCCTTCACTGGGCCATAATCAGGCACCTAAAGCTTATTTCTAGGGAGCTCTGGTAGTGTAGTGGTTACAAATTGGGCTGCTAACTTCAGGGTCAGCAGTTCGAAACTACCAGTTGTTCTGCGGAAGAAAGATGAAGCTTTCTGCTCCTGTAAAGATTTACAGCCTCAGAAACCCTGTACAGAGTCGGAACCGACTCCACGGCACAAAACAACAACCAAGCCTATTTCTACTTTACAGACCTGCCTGAGAGTCTTCTTTGAGGTCTTCAGGATCTTCGGAAGGGCCAGCGTCCTCAGAAAGCAATCTAGAGGGACATGATTAAAAAACGGGCAGAGATATAGACTGAAAGCATCAAGCCAGACGTCAATTGAGCAATTCTCTTTCTTCACCATTTTATCCTCTTTCGTTTCCCTTCAAGTCCTAATTTAGCACCTCCATTTGTAGCCATCCCTCTTCTCCTAACCTCATTCATGTTTTCTCACCGGGGGAATTCTTCATCCTGCCATTCCTCCTTCAGCTCCAGTTCCCCAAGTCTCAGGGCTGCTCCTAGTTCTGCTGCTTCTGTATTCTCCCTGACCCTAAGATAGTCCCCCAAAAGAAAGAATTATCATGAGACAACCTTGGCAGTGTCTTAATGCACTGGGCACTAGGTAAGGGACACTGGAATGAAGAAAATAATTAAGGCACAGATTGGGGCACAATCTGTTTTATAAGAAACAATACAAGAAAACAACTCAGATCTCTGGTCTCCTATACAGACTTGCTGAAAGAAGATTATCTCTACAGCTGGGTTTAAGAGCAGAGAAAAAATAGAAGGTGAAACTAATCATATTTGCTTCCATGGCAATTGCTCCACCTACAAAGTGAGGGTGAGTGGTGTTCCACATTACAACTGGCTGGAATCCAAACAGACACGCCCAGCTGTCACTGGGCAAAGTTAGAGAAGATGGCACCATGTCAGGCCAGCCTTTCCTCCACCATGCTGGGGAGTGGCTCGGGGAAACCATGGCATAGGTGGAGGAGTGGAGAAAGAAGGTAAGGAGGAGGACATTAGCTGGAAGGGGAACCTGGACCCTCAGTTCTGGGTTGGTTTTCCTCATAGCCATTCTGGGATTGGAAAATGAAGAACATGGGTAAAGTTATCAAACAAAATATAGAAATCTTTTTTTTTTTTGACTAGGGAATCATTCTGGAATCCTGTCCTCCAGTTCCTATACCATATTGACATTTTCTACTTAAATGTCTACCTCCCTCCCTTTCCTGCAAATAAATTCTCTTATGGTCTCACCTCCTTAAGAATCCCTAAGATTTGACCAGATAAAAGCTGGTTGGTAGGAGAGTTCTACAGACTATTAATTTCCTATTTTCAATCAAGTAATGTAATACTTACCCAGGATCTGGTGCCTTTTCCCCTGCTTCTTGTATAGTTCCCATCTTCACATGTCTTCCTGTCTCCTCTAAATACTTGGGAGTTGTCGGGGAGCTGGTCATCCCAGCTCCCCAACACTTCTTTCCCTCTTTTCTCTGTTTCGGCTGCTGTTTCTGTTGCCTCCAAGGAGGGAGGTGTGGAAGGCAGGCAAACTCATCTTCAAACAGGTTTTGCCACCTCCCCTCCCAAGAAGCAGGTCTGCCCAAAAGAGAAACCCTGCCTCCAGTGTGGGGGCGGGTTTTGGGGAAGACAGTGCATTTCCTAGGATGGCTAGTGTTGGGTAAGTCTAGGAAGGCAATTTGTTCTCTTTTCCACATCCCTTATAGCCTTCTAAAGCTGCTTTAAAAAAAATAATAATAGTAAAAAGAGAAACCATTTTCATTATTACACTATGTGAGGCCTGTTTTTTTCAAGCATAAGCAAAGTTGGGGAGAGAGATTGTTACAAAGAGAGTTCTGGAAGAATAAACAAATTTAAGGCTACAGGTGAGTGGAGATGGAAGCTTGCTGCTCCTCATTCCCAAAAGGGGTTGTCAGAAGGAAGTTATAAAGTATATCAGGAAAAAGGGCTATGAATCTTGAGGAGGCTGAAACAATTATCAGAGGAAAAGGCCTTATTATAGTTGTAAAAAGAGACAATAAGACCTCAAACAGGAAAAGAATATTTAATACTTTAACAAAATGCAAAATAAAGTACCCAAGTTACAAAACGTAAGTTCCTTTGGTTCAGTGATTACACTATTACTTTTACCTTCCAAATGGTTACAGACATTACCCCCTGAAAGTGAACTCAGACTGTCCCCTTCATAATAGGAAAATGTCATGCCAAAACCATCACACACACCAATGTTCAGTGAAGTTGTTGGCAACCTAGCTGGAATAGAGCTGTGGGGTAAGAACAGGGAGAATAACTTAGAAGAAAAAAGGGAGACTTTACACATGCATGACAAGTCAGTGGGAGGGAGTTCTGGGTCACTACAGTATAAGTCATAACCCTGTACATGCTACATGAGGCCAAGTCCCTTGGCACGATCACACATAAATACAGACAATCCAGTGACCCTGATCATTCCCAGGGGAAGACAGAGAAGCAAAAGAGAAAGGATGGCAGCAAGAGGCAGATCACAGAATACCAGAACATCTAATCCAAACCCTTAATTTTACAGATGGGGAAACTGAAATCCAGAGAAATGAAGTATCTTGCTAAAAAAGACAAACAGTTCATGGCAATCATATTAGAATCTGGATATTCACGCTTTCTTTTAATATGGGCAAGAAGAGAAAGATGGACAAGAAAACGACAGACCTGCTAAGGCAGAGAACATAGCCAGGGCTCTCGTTTCAGTTCCTTTTCTTTTGGGAAGAGTGCCTATGAATTCTAAAGGTCTTCCTGGGTGCCTGGACTCTCAAGAGCCAGGGGTCTTCTGGGTTTCTTCAGGGTTCCTGTGGCAGAGTGAGCTAAAGCACCTGAGAGTCAGGCCCCCTGATGAGGATGGACACGAATGGTCTCCAATCTGCTACCAAACAGGACCAGAAACAGCAACAGTAAGCTCAGAAATGGAAACTCAGCCATCTCTGAATCAGACATTACCTGAGGGCAGAAAGAAGAGTCATGGAATTGGAAGTCTGCTCAAGGCAGCAAACTGGAGCAAGAGTTTTCTAAAAACTGAAAACTGGAGCAAAAGTACACCCTACTTTAATCTAGCTTCAAGTAGGCATTCAATAAATATTTGAACGTGTACGTGAACAAATGAATAAAACAGCGACCATCAATGATTGCAAGGTTCCATGACACTGGTTCTATTCAAGATCCTTGCTGAGGGCACATTTGAGGGGATGCATTCTTTCTGTCCCACTTTGTTGGCACTGTATGTGTATCGCATTGTGCCCCTAGCAAATAAAATAGAAAACTCAGTGCAGATTTAAAGAACAAAATTAAATAATAACATCTGTCTGATTGGTAGAGATTGAGGGGAAGGTAGAAAGCCATTGTTGAAGCAGCTGCTTTCTTTCACTTCTTCCTCCTCCGGGCTTTATGAGAACAGTACACCAGATCTTGCAGCAATGAAGAAAGAACTGCTGAAATCTCCAAACATCTCAAAACATGCATTTGAAGTGGTTTAAGCGACCTTTCCCACTCTTCCCGCCCCCTACCTCCCCCCCCCCCCACAGTCACTTCTTTGATAGGGAGGCAGTGGTTGATCGTGACAGCGAGATCTGACTGCATTTCTCAAAGATGGCCTCTGCTGAGAGCTTCGGCAGCCCCTGGTCCAGAGGGCACTCATCCACCAAGCTGTTCATGGGTGTAGGAGGCAGTGGAGGGTCCTCTTCATCTTGACTTAGTCCAGGACTCAGGGAGTTACCCGCTTTGTTCATTTCCTTGTCCATCTGCTCCCTGGACACACTCACTGATTCAGGCTGTCCAGCAGGGATCTTCATGGAGTCCAAATATGCTGATAGGGCTTCCTGTAGCAGAGGCAGAAGTTTCTTTCGAGAGACCTGGGTGTTGCCTTGAAGATAGGCTTGAAGGTTAGGATGGATGCTTGGGATAGGAGTTAACTTTAGGAATGGAGACTGAGAGCGTTCCAGGACTCCACAGATCTGAAAAAGAGACAAGAACAGGGGAGTGATATATAAATATAAGGTGGAATAGCAAAGAGCTGAGGCTTCTAAATTAGAGGTTTCCCTTAGGAGGAGAAAACCTTTTTAAATTAAGTCATCCAGAGTTCATTTTTTGTTAATAACAAAAGGAATCTCAACTAATAGACAACAGTATTTTAGAAGCAGAAGATACAATTGAGATCATATATTTCATTTCATAAGTGAACAACTTAAAACTCAGTTATATTAAGTGTATTGAGCAAAATCATACAGATACTAGCAGAGTTTGAACTAGCACCCAGGTCCCAGCTCCTAATATAGTGTTATTTCCAAGTATATCCCTCTGCTCAAAAACCTGATCTCTGTCCTTAGCTGGGAAAGGACTAGCATCTATCATGAGATCAGGGAAAAGGCAGAGGGAGAAAGAATTGTGGAAGTGGGAGATCCGTAATACTGAGAACTTACTATAAACCAAGCATAATGTTGAGTCTAGCTGTTTATACAGATGATCTCATTTAATCTTCATGACAACCTTGTAAGATTGATAATACTACTGCCTTTATTTACAGGTGGAGAAACCAAGGCTTAGGCAACTTGCCTAAGATTATAATTAATATAAAGCAAAGCTGGGACTTGATCCCAGGTCTGTCACCAAAGCCTGTGTTCTAAATCACTAAATTATACTGCCTCTAACAATCCTGGTGTGGCACTGTTGGTTAATGTGCTGGACTACCAGGAGGCATGCGGTTCAAGCTCACCAACTGTTCCTCGGAAACCCTATACAAGGTCGCCATGGGTCTGAACCTGACTTGACAGCACTTAACAACAACAACATAACATGCTTGCCTGTTAGCCAAAAGGTTGGTAGTTCATGTCCACGCAGAGGCACCCTGGAAGAAAGGCCTGGTGATCTACTTTAGAAAAATCAGCCTTTGAAAGTCTTAAGAAGTGCAGTTCTACTCTGACACCCATGAGGCACCAGGAGCCAGAATTGTTTTCGTGGTACTTGTTTTGTTTAGTTTTTAAACTAGAACCTAGGAAGAAGTGGAGTCATGGTGAGGCAGACCATAAAAAAAGGGCTCATGTTTTCCAGCACAGAGGCAGCCAGGGCAGTGGTCGAGTTCCCAGGAGCAGCGCAGAGAAGCCTAGATTTAGGAAGGCAGCAAGATGCACTTCTTGTAGCTAAAGCACCCCTTCCTACATGACATTATTATTAATAGCCACCATTTACCGGGTGCTTCCTCTGGGCCTAGTAATATACTTTACATGTATTATTTTTAATTAGTACTTCAGACCAATAAGGTAGGTACTATTATGCCATTTATTGATGAAGAAATAGTCAGAGTTTAAATGATTTGCTTTAACCCAAAGAGCTAGTAAGTGACAAACCTGAGACAGGAAAAAGCAAGTCTACCTGACCTTGAAAAGCACAGTTCTTCCTACAATGCCAAACTACCTTCCGTTGAATGAAATTATATTTGCTTCCTGAATGAAAAGACAGAAAATGAGAAGTGGGAAAGGGCAAACATACCTTTTGTGGGTGCAAAGATTATCTAGCAGTCTCCAGGAACCTTCACATAGCCCAAGCAAACCAGAGTCCCTGGACTGCTTTAAGTCTACTTTAAAATTCTTCCCTGAATTAATCAGTAACCAACAGAGGAACAGAAGGGGGAGGAGGCAGGGAAAGGCGGCCAAATAAAAGGTCAGGGAAAAAACTAAATCTTTACTAGATCACTCTCCATAGAGTTTTTGCTATACAGAGTAATTAATCACTTAATCCCCGCATGGTAAGTGGACAAGGTTTCTCTTGTGTTTCCAGTTTTTAAGGCAGTAGGGTAGAAAGTAAGGACTAGTTTTCAGAGGTGAGGAATTAATGAAGAATCAAGTACTAACTCCAGATTAATAACATTTCCTTCTAAGTAGGAATTGCATCTAATACTCTTTGGAATTTTCCTTTTCAACAACAGTCTAATTAAGGCTACTCACACACAGAGAGGACTTGTGGTGTGGTGTTGCAGGATCAACTGGACTGTGAACCAGCTCCTCCTCAGAAACCCTATATAGGGTCATTATATTAGTTGGAACTGACTCGATGGCACTTAACAACAATAACACATCTAGTGAGACTGGAAAAAGGGGGAGCAGAGGCTGAACATTATCAAGAGACCTCTGTATAAATCGAAGAATGCAGAGGAGATACTTGTAGAACAGACTAGTACTCAGAGGCAGAGCTCTGCAGAGCCCTCGGTCTGGAGAAGAGACAGAAACTCACCGTTATTCGGAGCGCCACATGGGGACCAAAAACAGCCAACTGCCGCACTGGCTCATTGTTAGTGTTGAAAAAGATAGTCATGGCCACCAGGATGTCATAGCTGTGAGCCTGGCAAAAAGCTTGGAGATCTGCAATGAGGTCAGACCTCTGAAGAAAGGCCTGGAAGAGAAGAAATGAAGAAAGGGCTGAGGCTACTGCTGTATCCTTTCAGTCACCATCACCAACAAATCCCTATAAAGGTTTCTTCCCATGTTAACCAACAGGACTTACCCACCATAAAAACGTTAACTAGTATTTACTCTCTCCGCACGTCTGTCACCTTGCAGAATTGTGGTGGCTTATGTGTTGCTGGGTTGCTGGGAGCTATGCCACTGGTATTTCAAATGACCAGCATGACAGACAGGATTTAGCAGAGCTTCCATACTAATAAGAAGGAACAGATGGCACACTTCTGAGAGATTAGTCTCTCAAAACTTTATGAAAAGCAGTAAATCATTGTCTGATATTGTGCCAGAAGATGAGTCCTTCAGGTTGGAAGGAACTCCAAATACGACTGAGGAGAGCAACCTCTTCAAAGTATAGTACACCTTAATAATGTGGACGGAACAAAGCTCTTGGGACCTTCAGTGTTGACTGTACTGATCAAACATGAAATCAAGATGTATTGATAATTACTTATGACTGGAATGTGAAAGTTGTAAACAAAGAGGAAGGATCAGTAGTTGGAAATTATGCTGGAGATTTGGTGATAGAAATAATGCTGGAGATCACATGGTAGAATTTTGAAAAATGTGATGGAATAGCTGCAAACATGTGTTAATAATAAAAATGTGGAATAATGTACAAAGTATGAGTCTAGGAAAACTGAAATTTATCAAAATGAAAGGGATAAATAAAGATGCATATCCTGCACATTAGTGACCTGAAATTAGGCATTTTGAATCAATCATATGGATTACTATGAATGAAAAACTGAAGAAAGATGGTATCACAGTCTTCATCAAGAAGAACATTTCAAGATGTATCTTGAAATACAATGCTGTCTGTGATAGGACATCTATATGTCTATAATGATGGTGGTGGTGGTTGTATGCTGTGGAGTCGGTTCTGACTCATAGCAACCCTATATAGGGTTTCCAAGGCTATAAATCTTTATGGGAGCAGAAAGCCTCATCTTTCTCCTATGGTACAGCTGGTGTTTCAAACTGCTGACCTTGAGGTTAGGAGCCTGACTTGTAACCACTATGCTACCAGAGCTCTACAATGAAGACCAGTTAATGTAATTACTATTCAAATTTATACAAACAACCAACAAAGTCAATGATGAGGAAATGGAAGAATTCTACCACCTTCTTCAGTCTGAAATTGATCAAACAGGTAATCAAAATGTATTGATAATTACTGTTGATTGGAATGCAAAAGTTGGGATCAGTAGTTGGAAATTATAGCCTTGGTGATAGAAACAACGCTGGAGGTCACATGACAGAATTTTGCAAGACTCTCATTGTAAATACCTTTCTTCAACAACTTATATGATGACTATACACATGGACGTCAGATGGAATTTATAGTAATCAAAGTGACTACATCTACAGGAAAAACAATGGTGAAACTCACTATCATCAGACAAAACAAGCCCAGGGGTTGACTGTGGAACAGACCACCATTTGTTCATATGTAAGTTCAAGCTGAAGCTAAAGAAAATTGAAATAAGCTCATGAAAGTCAAAATACAAGCTTGAGATTTACTTAAGAACAGATTTAACTCAATGAACACTACTAACTGGAGACAAGAAGAATTATCAGATAACATCAATAAAAACATCATAAATGAAGAAAGCAAAAGTTCCTAAAAAGTCAGGAGAGAAAGAAAAGACCAAAGTGGATATCAGAAGAGATTTTGAAACTTGCTCTTAAATGCAGAGTAGCTAAAGCAATGGGAAGAAATTAAGTAAAAGAGCTCTACAGAAAACTTCAAAGGATAGCTCAAGGAGACAAAGCTCAGTTTTACAATTAATTATGAAAATACCTAAAGGAATTAAGCAAACCGAGAGGGAAGAGCATGCTCATCAATTTTCAAGCTGAAAAAAGTAAAGAAAACAAAAATCAAGACCTGACTTGAAATACCGAAACATTCTAAGAGCAAAATATTGAACGATGCAGGAAGCATCCAAAAGAGATGAAAGGAGGGACTTTCAGCAAGATGGCAGACTAGGCAGATGTACTATAAGGATCCACTACATACAACAAAGAAATGAGAGACCAAATAAAACCGACACAGATGAAAATCCTGGCATCCTGAACTTCAGAAGAAAGGTTAGAGAAGTGGATAGAGTGCTTCCTCGGTAGAGAAACCAAGCAGGGACAGTGAGAGAGACTGACTGGTGAATGGCTGGCCAGACGCGGCTTAACCATCTTGTCAGCAGCTTTGGCAAACAGATGGAGGCGTGGCAGAGCAGGTTATGGAAAGGTTGGATTTCTTCTTTTCCCCATACTCCCCTGGTGACCTGTGTGGCCAGCTCCCACACTCATCTACCCCCAGTATGAGTTGGAGGCAAACTGTGCTAACTTTTGTGTTCTGCTTTGGTGCCTGGATTCAGGTGGGCTCAGCTCTAAACCTACAAAAACCACAGAGCAACCAGATCAGCATTTAACCAGTCACCCTGCCCCCAGCTTCCCTGTGGTCACAACAGACACTGAAACCAGCTCCATCAAGAGCCCCCAAGAACTACTTCTGGATTGAGTGCCCTGAACACAGATAACACCGAGTCCAACAGGAACTCCATCTAGGGCCAGGAACTCTGCTGTCACCACCTCTTGAGTTCCTTGAATTGTAGGAGCCCCTCTGGGTCCAACAACTACAGTGTTTGTTTTTACAAATCAACAATTTTAGCTCAAAGAAGAAAAAATGGCTAACACAAATGACCAAGAGGCAGAGACAAAACATTTCTGAGGAAAAAAAAAAAGTAACAGAACTAACTGAAAAAGAATTCAAACGAATGATATTTTGGTACCTTCAGCAGATTGATGGAAAGCAAGGAGAACACAGAAAAAAAAATGAACAAACAGACAAAATAAATGCAAATTTTGAAACAACACAAAACCTGCAAATAGAAATCCATAGGATTTCAGAAACAAACAATACATTGAAAGGGTAAAGGAGAAGATTTGAAGATATAGAAGCCCAAATTAGTGAGCTTGAAGATAAATTTCTCAATACTAGTATGCTAGAATAACAATCAGAAAAATAATTAAAATCTGAAGAAAGCTTCAGTTATGTGGGACACCATGAAGAGGAATTATTAATGACTGGAATTCCAAAACAGCAAGAGACAATAAAAGCACTGAGAAAATTCTTGAAGAGTTGTTGGAAGAATACTTCCCTAGCATCATAAAGGACAAGAAGATAAAGATACAAGAAGCTCTACAAACCCTAAACAGGATCGATCCCAAAAGAAAATATCTAAGACATATCATAATCAAACGTTTCAAAATCAAAGACCAGGAAAGAATCCTGAGAGCAGCTTGGGAAAAATGAAAAGTTATCTACAAAGGCACACCAATAAGACTAAGCTCTGATTTCTCAGTGAAAACATGCAGGCAAGAAGGCAATGGAATGACACTTACAAAACTCTGAAAGAAAAAACTGTCAACCAAGAATCATATACCCAACAAAACTGCCCTTCAAATACCATGGCAAAATTAAGACATGTTCTGATAAACAGAAATTAAAGGAATTTGTAATGACCAGACCAATTTTACAAATAATGCTAAAGTGTGTTCTCTGAACTGAGAACCAACAACAGTAGACAACAACCTGAGATTACCATACATTACAGCACCACCCAGAACTCAATCCAGATATAGAAGTATTTAAAGTAAAACAAATCTACAAGACTGAAAATTGGGAACCTGAGATATCAATTTATAATGAAGTCAACTATAAAGCAAAATGAGGGAATAGTGCAGATACAGAACTTCCAAATGGCAAGGAAGTCAAGTACATTTCAAGATAAAACAGGCTGCTTAAGCAAGGAAAAAAATTAGCAAATTATAGGGTAACCTCAAAGAAAAAGAATATACCTGGCACATCAAAATAAAAAAAGAGGAAAATCAAGAAAGACTTAGTAAACATTAACACAACAGAAATGAAAATGAAAAGAAAACCCAAAACCAAAATGAACTTAGCATAGAAGTTATGGAAAAAGGAATCCAGAAGCACCACAGAAGAACAGACAGTAAAATTATAGCAATCAGTTCATACTTATTGATCATTAAATTATAAATGGACTAAATGTACCAGTCAAGAGACAGAGAGCAGAAAGGATAAGAAAACAAGATCCTTCAATATGCTGTCTACAAGAGACATATTAAAAAGAAGGAGACAGCCTAAATGTCCATCAACATAAAAATGGTTAAACAAACTTTGGTACATACACACAATAGAATACTACAAAACACTGAATAATGATGAATCTGTGAAACCTCTCACAACATGGTTGAACCTGAAGGACATTATGCTGAGTGAAAGTAGTTAGTCACAAAAGAACAAATTGTGTATGAAATCATTGTTGAAAAAGTGGTTATTTTGGATTAAAAAAAAAAAAAACAGAAAAAGAATTGGTTGATGTTCAACCATGTTGGTAGGTTACATATGATTAAGAACCAATGGGATTTAAGGAAGAAGTCCAAGTTGCACTGAAGGCATTGGCGAAAAACAAGACTCCAGGAATTGACGGAATACCCATTGAAATGTTTTAACAAACTGATACATCTCCAGAGTCAATCACACTTCTATGTCAAGAAATTTGGAAGACAGGTACCTGGCCAACCAATCAGAAGAGATCCATATTTGTGCCCATTACAAAGAAAGGTAACCCAACAGAATGCAGAAATTATTGAACAATATGATTAATATCACACACAAGTAACATTTTGCTGGAGATAATTAAAAAACAGTTGCAGCAGCACACCAACAGGGAACAGCCAGAAATTCAAGTTGGATTCAGAAGAGAATGTGGAATGAGGGATATCACTGCTGACTTTGGATGGATCTTGGCTGAAAGCAGAAAATACCAGAAAGATGTTTACTTGCACTTTATTGACTATGCAAATACATTCAACTGTGTGGATCATAACAAACTATGGACAACACTGCAA